ATTCGGCTCTTGTTTTAATTAATGTACAAAGTACATGGATACATGCACACATCTTCAAGGTTGGCACTGAAACAGAGAACTAACTTCCACTTCAAAGCTGTGCTGAGGACACTTCAGCTGACATGAAGATTGTTCAGTTATTTCCTTTTTATTTTAACACCTGTCAAAATTTATTTGCCTTCACCAAAAAAAAAAATCTCCCCAATCATTCAGCATCCTCACTCCTTCCTATCTACCTTAGCAATACAAAAACCTTTATTCATATGGATAGTGCAAAAAGGCCCTGTGGGTTGGGCTTTTTAGGTCTGGTTTAGGTTACAGCTCTCTTGCAATGCCTTTGGAGCCATTAGGGATACAGTAGCTGAAGTAATCTAAACTGATATAAACTGCAAGTAACTCAAAATACACATCAGGAAGCTGACAAGCAGCTCCCCCAGGGAATACATGCATGTGTGCAGTCAGTCTTGCCCTCCGTCCACTGCAGCCCTGTGCCGTACCAGACCACTGCTCTCTAACCACAGACTGCAGCAGGGAGAATGCCTCATTGCAAGGACTGCCACTGCTCCTTCTTCACTTTCCAGCAACCACATCTGCTGACTGCCAGGACTTAAAAATATTTTTCTTCTCAGAGGTCCTCTGCTTAGCAATGTTTATTCTCCAAAACAGGAAGCCTACCGAGATCCATTTGGAGCATAGCTGAAATTCGGGGGCACCTCTCCTTTCTCCTGACAGAGTTTAAATAGCTACAGAACAGATGGCATAAACGTGTCTTGAAAGAAGAGCAACTTTACTCTTCTTTTTTTGCTTTTTCCTAGTGTCTGTTTTTGTTTTTCCAAAACATTTATAGGCCAAACGAGGGTGGGGGAGGAGGAGGAGGGAAGGTGAAAAACACATTTTAGAGCCTACCATAAAAGAGTATCCGAGCAGCACAGCAACAGACGCAGTGCTCTGCCATGAGGCAGCCTACCTCAGGGCTGCCTTTCTCATCTGGAGCTGACTAGAAGGGCAGGCTCTCCAGGCTGTGGGATAATGGGTGGCCAGGAAAGCTCTACATTTGTGACAACTTAGAAAGGTGATAGAATTTTACAGAAAGGTTCTCATGTTTCTTTTAAATCTTTAAAATCATATCTACAAGCAGAGCGCCCACTCTCTGAACGGTGATGCTGGTTGGACATTCCAGCAGGGAGAGTATTCTCATTACGTCCTTTTGCAGCTATTGTTTCAAGAGAGATCTGTGGTGGATTACATCCATGCTTCAACGTGTTCAACATCTGCCTTGAGACATCTCCCCTTTGGCCACCAAGAAAGTACAGCAAGAATGGACTGTGCTGGGATGATTTAACCAAACTCCCATCTTCCTTTGGCAAAAATTGGGTCAATGAACCAAGCAAGGAATTAGCAGTCTCTTAAGGAGATGGATAATTTGCTGACAAAATCACTAAATAACTCCTTATCAAAGGCTGCTTGCTTTAGATCTATAAAATGAGGGCTGCCACTGCATATAGGAAATATGACAGAGATCCTCAGAGGCCGGGTCCACTAACGGCTTTAAATGAGGCATAAGACTCAAGTTTGATCTCTGAGAACTGACAGTCACAACTAATTCCACACATAGTGCTCTGTGTGCTCGACATCCAGGAAGTCCAGGCTCTGCACATTCAGCATTCATCAATAGGCAGCACGTGACATTTCATTAAGAATTTGGTGCTATTGCAGTTTTCAGCTGTTAGGAGGTTTATGAGGTATTACAAAACAGAAGCACTTACATACAGTTTGAAACTCAGCAGACATAATCCAAGGCATGAATGTGGGATTTTCTTCTGCCTTATCCCCCTTCCTCACCAAAAGAAGTGGAATCACAAAATTAATGTCACTGATACACTGGGAAAAAAAAAAAAAAAAAAGAAAAGAAAAAAATCCTGTTCATGAATTATCTTAAAAGCCAAACTGTGCAAATGATTTCTAGGCTCTGTGCTGTTCTCTCTTGCTTTGCTGTTGCTTTAAAAAAAATACTAGGTCTATATTAAAGAAACAATAATACAAAATACTCATTTAACGAGGACCTATGGGAATAACAACAGGCAGAGAGGTATTGCAAATAAGACTCTGCAGGGAGCCCTGGAGATGTTCCTGTTTCTGGGGAGACTTGTTGCCCTTTTCATCAATGGAAATGCAGTAGAAATTTGCAGTTGCTCATATATATAAAGGTAAGTTTCTCCTTGCAAATTTGCAGGGCAATGGGATGGCCAAACAACAGGCTGAAGAAAAGGAAACAGCAGATGGCATGCTCGTAAGGAAGCAGTACAAAGTGCTCTTTAGACTTCTTATAAAGGACAAAAGAAAGAACTCAAACCCAAAGATGTCAGGCATCAGCAATAGTAAACACAGAGTATCTGGGGTATTAAAAAATATTCTCATTTATCCACTACTCCTGACATTTCTCTCAATCCCAGGGGTTTGCTGGAGCATGCTTGTTCTGACTGGATGGCTGCCAGAAGACATTCAGTGTTGCAGTTCTTTGTTTATCACAAAACCATGCTCCTTGCTGGTAACATTTTACAACTCTTACCACACTGTTCAATCCAGCTACAACTGTCGAAATCTTGTCTTCTCTCAAACAGAGGAGGTCAGAAGGAAAAGAAAGCCCACTTTATGTATCCATTGCAGTTAGCCAGTTTAGCAAATATAATCATTAAGCAGGGATTCAGTTTTATCAACCTGTAGGTTTAGCAAATCCCCCAGCATTTCAGCACAGCAGGAAAGAAGCGATCAGAATTCAATCTATTTCTCCTGATTTTTTTAAATCATCACTCTGGATTCCTAGGGCGGGCTTTGGTGGGGGTCTGAACTGCAACCTTTTTCGTTGTTTTTATTTCTTTATCACACCAAGATTTAAGAATTCTTCCCTATGTACAATGAGCAATTAAAAACAGGAGTTACAGAAATACAGGTTTCTACACTCCAGTGCTTGAAAACAGCAGCCTTGGGGTATTACAGAGCCTGTCTTAGTCAATATGCTTTCAAATTTCAAAATAAAACCTTCCCAAAAGCAAAGCTTATTACTTCAGATGTTCTTTAAGAATTGTGCAGACCAGCCAGGTCTCAAGAAACAAACACCTAAGTGTAAAGTCCACCTCTATTCAAGAAAGTGTTTAAGCTTGTCCTACTGAATCCCTTCAGCTTCCTTGGATTTAATGCTTTAGTGCTTTCTCAGCATATTCTCCTGAGTTATGTCCCAAATACTGCAAGACATCCCTTAAGCAAATCTTTGAAAACATCTGTGACCATTATTCCAAACAGTTTAAGCAAGAAATTACTCCTTTGCAGTTCAATCAGCAAAGTGGCCATGCTTGGGAACTGAGCTCCTTTTTACCCTCAGTCAGCCACACACCTCTGCTATGTGACACCCTGTTTTGAAAGTACTGTAAAACCCCAATGATTCAGACCTCGTCAGTGCCTGCAGGCTCTACAGGGCAATGCTTCCAAAACTGATCAGCGCAGTGACAATACACAAATAATTTTGTATATTACAAAATACACATATTTTGTAATTCCCAAGGTGATAGGCAGGTAAATAACCTTCACATGAAACTCAGGTTTCTTATTTCTCTGGTTTACTCCGTCTGAAAACCAAGCCAGGAAGCTACAGACCCCTAACCTAATCTTACTAGATCTTTTGAGTGCAATAGCAGTGTCAAATAACCACTTCTTTTTTCAGATCTAATAGGTTCAATACATCCTGTCTTTAGTTGCTTGGCATTCATTAAATGTCGTCAACTTCATTATTTGACTTAGGACATAACAACTGCTTTTTGTACGTTCAGTCAACACGCATGCAAATAAAACAAGTTTTTACTTTAAACAACATGATGCATCTGCACATACCAAGAACTCAAGGCTTTGCTCTTTTATCCCAGCTTCTTCCTGATGAATTCCTGTTCAGCTTGTATATCTGAGTCCTGAGCTTCAGTGATGATTCAGCACCCTAAAAAATTTCTGCACACCCATCAAGTTTTTCAGTTAGGTGGAAAGCAGCACTTCTGAAATAGGCTGATTCCCAGCTCAAAGGTGTTGAAGAAAAAGCAAGATCTGGAGTTTCACTGCCATCCTAGAGATTCAATTTGACAGAAATGACATATGCAGGCCACTGTAAAACATGCCCAGGAAATGTTTTTGCACACACTGATCTAAATTTCCAGGCTACTGCCTAATTGTTTGCTCATTTCCAGGTGTCTTTCTCCTTCTGCACCCTCTCTTCACACTTTCAAACCAGTTCAGGCCAAGTCTGTATGCTGTCGCCTTCAAGCTTTCAGGAGTGCTTTATGCAGCTCTGTTTTGAAAGACCTCTGCTTGAACTTACAGACCTCTGATAAAATAAAAGGCATCTGGCTGTTCCCGTTTGGGTGGTTATCCCAGTCTGAACCCCAGAAGAGATGTCACCTGTGAGTTCCATCCAACAGCAGTGCAAGTCAGTTTGCAGTAGATAGCACAGAGGGGGCTGCAACTCATCCCACATGAAATAGATAGCAATACTTAGGCTTCATGCTACTAATCTATCTCAGCACCTCATCATCCCAGGACCATACAATACATGACCATACCAAGATGTAAGAGCCTAAGGCCCTATTACTAATCCTCTTGGCCTCTCCCTACTACTTGTGAGCATGTGTTATGTGCATACCCTCCCCAAGCATGGAAATATGTTCCTGTGATCGTAAGTGTAGGCATTCCATGCACGCCCAGGAGTCCCCTTTCATCCCCATACTTAGGTGCTTCAGTGTAACATAGATGAGGAGAGTGAAAATGGACTTGTGTAGATCTGTAGGGGACTGTGGGATGGATAGGGGGAATAGGAAATATTTTCTTCTGGATGTGGATCTTACCTAATCCCTACGAATTGCCTTTGCATGCTCAGGAACGTGCTTAGCACAAACGTTACAGGAATTATAAAGAACTAAAAATAAAATGTAATGAAGCACAAGGAAATACTTTAAAAATGCATTTTCTGAACATTTATTAAGCATTAAATTTCACTGAACTTGAAAGGTAATTTTTTCATTAGAGATGCTTGGGGCAACTTAAGAAATGGTTGTGAAATCATTCAACTTGAGGATAAAGCAAGCAGCTTTGCTTGTTGACACAAGCCTACATGAGGTAAAGTGACAAAGAGAAAGAACACAACAGCCCAAGCTGTCAGGCCTACGGACAGTGTACAGCACCAGAAAGGTCACCAACATGCTGTAAATCCATTGCAGCATTTCCAGACAATGTTGTCCTACTGAAACTCTTGCACTAAAATCTTTACCTTCAGGGCAGGCAGATTCTTCAGCAGCCTCCCAGATGATGCTGGGACTCATTTGCTGTCATGTAGCTTCTTCCCTCCCTCTCCCTGCACCTATAGAAAATGTCTGGAAAAAACAAATCTGAAGCCAAGCTTTCTGTGTAACTCAAATAAGGAAGTATTTCAATTCTAATATTTACTTCAGATGTGTTCACTTGACATATGAATGTCTCCTGCAGTACTTATGCAAGTGACTCATGCCAGCAGGGCATGTTGCCTGGGGGCAGTTTAGCTGTGGATGATGTGTACAGCCCCTCTCTACGACTGGGAAGAGGCAAGGTCCTCTGCTACATGGCATTGCTGTGAAAAGATTCAGGGAACATAGAGTACAATACATACTTAAGGCCTCCATACATCCCTCACCTCCATGAGTGAAAAGTTCACTTAAAACTTCTAAGTAAGTCTCCTGTTTAAAACTGGAAAAAAGAGAACAAAAGTTTTGTGGCTCAATTGTCATCAGCTACAGTTCTGTATTCCAAAGTGATTAAAACATGAACAACCTTTTACTATTTACCACAACCCACACTTGACACTTTGCCTTACAAGTGTTCTTTTGAAGATGCTGCCATTTTTAGTTAATGGCAAAGTAAAAGAGGTACCATAATTCACTTGATATAATTCTTTTCCCGCTAATGTTTTATTCAGACTGAGCTTCATTAAATAAAGATGAAACTCTGGACTCATGATTGCTCCATGTTTACAAAACATCCAGTCTCCTTTACATCTTGGTTAAGCATGAACAATCACTGAACACAAGATTTCCTAAAAAAATACCACATACCAAAATTGCATATTTTGAATTTTTAAAATTCACTAAACAAAATTTCACAGAGTGAACCCTAAAGTCTGTTTGCCAGCAAAGCACAAGCCAAAAATGGAAGTTGGGGCCCTCTAGAAAAGAAAATTAAGCCAGACCCCAACACGCATCCTTCCCATTAAACGAGCAAATAAATACACATTCATACAGAATAATTTGCTCTAAAAATGCAGGTGCTTGAGTAGTTACCCACAAGTTTTAACATAAATTTTGATTGCTCGAATAGCACTGTGTCATAGTAAGTTTCTTTCTTTTTTCGTGGAACTGGGCAGTGATTTCTTACTGGACACCAGAGAACACAACATAGCCCAGAACATGACGCTTTTGATACAAGTCCAAATGCATTTTTCCACAGAGAAAAATTACAAAGATAAGGCTGTAAAAAAAAAAAGTAAGTTAGAGGTGTATGTAGCAGTATCACATTTTTAAATGTCAGGTACTGGACCAAGGAATGGGACAGACTGCACTGCATTTTTAAAGTAGTATGACTATCGACATACTCAAGAAACATTTTAACACTGTACATTACAACGAACTATTTAGTTCACTTCTACACAAGTCAGCAATAAAGCTAGGTGATCCAACATGACATGGCAGCTGCAAATTTAAAATGATAGTCACAGTCTAAAGCCAGAGCGAAAACATCTCTGGAACCCCTAGTTATAAAACGGGATGAAGGTACACACCATGCGTGCACACGCAGGCAAAAATCTTGAGGTTTTACTTATTGCTCTTACAGAAGGCTGTGAGCAGGCAAATGTCTGGATCAGAAATTAGGTCAAACATGCATTTCAGCAGGCAAGAAAAGTACAGGAAATTCATATTAATGAAACAATGTACTGTGATAATACAGGATGGTATTCTGCCTAATATAATACTTATGTCATTAATACCGGATAAACTCCAGGTCTGCCTGTTGCATAATGTGTTATGCAGTGTAGTATTTTAACCTAATTTCTGATTCCTCTTTCATACTGCACCCTCCCATGTAGGGACAGAAGGGGTGCTTTTCAAGACAGCCATTCTTTGCAACACAAGAGAAACCTTGGTTTCAAGAGCTTCAGGCAGGCAGGTACAGCCAGAAGGAGGTTAACAGTATCAGCACTGTAGCTCCAGGGCCTGCTCTTTGACTGCCTCATGGTCATTGCAAGTTGGATAAGCTGATGAGAAATGCATCAGTGCTTTTCTCAGAGCATTTTCCAGCTATGCCATACGCCCCCTGGTATTCCTAGCAATTGCTACAGGGGATAAGGCAGTAGAGGGTTGAGTCCCATATCTGGTCACTTCCTCAAGTCTCAGAAAGGCAAGAATTTTTTTGTGAACTGGCTTTCATTTACACAATAAACAGCGTAGTGTGGATGTCATAGAAATCTGGCTTCCTACTAGCAACATGAGACTAGCACTTTCACAATACACATTTTGCAATACCTGTTGTTCCCTACTGCAACCAAATTAAACATGCTGTGGAGAGGTGTCCATGTAATTACAATACTTGTAAGCCAAGTTCAAGGCATACTGCACATGGGCCTTGCACAGAAAAGGCATTGAATGTGTTATCTGAGGATCCTTTTTTTTTCTTTTTTTGCTGTGCTATGCATACATATGACAGTAGATAAAAAATCAGCACAATGGTTCCTCTCCATACATGAACCAACACACACCGTAACAGTTAAGCACCAAATAGGCTGTTCTTCAGTTGACAGGAATCAAGGAAGAAAATTGTAGTTTGGGAACAGGGAGGGGAGGGGAAGGAATCCAGCATGAAGATAGAGGTATGTTCCTGACAGAAGTCCTAGCTAGGAATGTTTATTGTGAACCAGCAACTGGATTTTGTGATATAAGCAGGAAACCACCGACGTCTACAGGGGCAATTTGAGCACCGCATGCTCAAAATTACATTCTCTAGTGTTGTAATACGACACCGAGCAATCTCTAATTAATTACTAGAAAGAGCAGTAGGTAAACGACAAGAGGTCATGCTTCAGGGAGGTTACACTTTGTACTTGCAAAAAGCAGCAGTTCAAATCCATAAATTTTTCTGTCTTATGAAAGGTCTGTCATATGCCCCTCGATCCAATCCCTAAATCTCACACAAATTTCAGCTTTGCCAAATACCAAAATTCACACTGAGCTCTATTTTACTTACAGACTATCGGGACTGGTTAGAGCAAGGCGCTACTGCAGCAAAGGTTCAGGAATTTGGCTCTTTCCAGACGTGAACTGCAAATGACTGGGGTTTCATGACACTCATGGGTGGAGGGAGACAATTGCTGTGGGTTTTTTTTTCAAATCTGTCTTTATGAACACCAACATTTATAACACTGAAATGTGGGAAATGGCTCCAGTATGCTCACCCAGATACTTTGACACCAGGACAGCTACAGTGATGTAGGAGGGGAGCCCACCCAGTAGAGGGTTAGGTTGACATGGGTACTCCTCCTGGCTATTGTCAGAGCCTCTTACTACATAATTGCGTATAAAGGTCCTTGGCTTGTTGGGATGGTGAGGCTTCCTTAGGGGAAATGCTCTGTCACACTATCCATGGGTACACAGTTGCGTCTCCTAGGAAAGAGGGAGGCAAAATAGATCCGAATGCTTTAAAAACAATTAGGAAAACCTAAGCTTTAGAAGGAGAAACAGAACAATCTGCTATCACAACTTTTCAGGAGAAGTCCTAGGACTTCTTATGACCCATTTCTTCACTAATAGCTCCTTCAAATAGAAGATGCTTGAAGTGCCACTTCCCTGGAGCTGAAAAAAATCGGCGAAAAAAAAAAGAGGCAAAAAACACACACCACAGAACAAAATGATTGCTTGCAAAACATTTCCATTTAAAAACTATTGTACAACTCCCTAACTCGGTTTAATTAGTGTGCAGTTTAAAACATACAAAATGCTTTACCAGCTAAGTGACTTCTTGGTTTTACAAGTCTCATTCCCTCCCCCCATTAAAAAATAATGCATGTGTGGACTGGTATTGAACACCTTGTACAGAGTCACGCACCAATTCTCTTTTAATTCTACATGGAGCAGTTTTGATTTAATCTACTGTGTTTAGAGTAGAGCTCATTCCATGTACTTTACAGTATAACCAGCTACATAGATGTCTTTAATCTCGTAACATAATTAAAAAAAAAAAAAATCACTGTACTTTGCAGTCCCTTTGATAAATGATTATGGTGATGCATGCAGCCCTCCTCAGTGCCGCTGCTGCCAGACACGAGACGTGATTTTCTCCGCACGCTGCCGACAGGCCTGATGCCACACTGACAGGGGCTGTGGCTGGGCTGGCACACTGCTGCCCCGATTCTGCAGTCATTGGGCAAAGCTGCGCTGAATTGTCTCACTCCATATCACCACCACCACCACCACCACCGACCCAACCCCCAGGGAACACACACCCCTGCCCGCCTCAGCCGCAGGAGATCACTGTGAAGCGCTTGGAAATGCACGACATGTTGTGGAGGACGATGCCCAGGAGAAAGACTAGGACGCAGGCCACCAGGATCACAGTGCAAACCCCCGACCAGGTGGAGCTTTTCACAACGCCTCTCCGGTCCGGCTCCTCTGTTCCCGCCTCAGCGGGAAGGCCACCCTGTAGTGGCTGCTGCTCCGGTGGGATTGTCACCACCGCCAGAGATTTCTGCTGGCTGCCAGGCAGGAGGCGGCAGCCGATGTCTCCAGGCAGTAGCGCCCTCTCTTTGGAGAGAGGCAAGGGCAGCATGTAGCACCCATTGCTGGGGAGTTTGATGAAGACGGGGGTGTGCTCGGAGGCGTGGGGGATTGCAATGACGGCGATCACCTCGGGGTCATCAGGCAGCTGCGACACAGAGTACCCCGGTGGCAGCTTGGTGATCCCACGGCACCAGGGGCAACGCAGGTCCTTCTGGCTGGTCCTCATCTGCTGCAGGCACACCGAGCAGCACGTGTGCTTGCAGTCCAGCAGCTTGGGCCGCCGGCGCGGGCTGTAGTAGTTGAAGCAAATCTGGCACTCCAGCAGAGAGTCCTGGGACAGGGTCTCCATGGTGGCTGGCACAGGGCAGCACAGCAGCTCTCACCCTGTGACAAGACTCAGGTCAAGTCTCACACAAGACAAGTCTCACAGCCACGGAGCAGCTGCTGACTTCCTCCTGCTTCTCCTCAGGGTGGTGTCTGCCTTCCTGCTGCTGCTTCTTCTCAGGGCAGCACCAGGCAGTGGCTATGGAGAGGGCAGGAAAACCTCAGGCCTGAACCTTCCCAGTACCTGAGACAAACAGATAAACATGAAGGAATAGGTTACTTACAGGAACCAGCAGGAACAAGAGTCCAGCTAAGGGGGGAATGGAAACTAGTGCTGACCTTGTAACCTGGAAACAAATTTGCCACCCTTAGCAAGAAAACACCTTCCCACTGGCTTCACCAAACTGCCCAGTGGCAAACCTTCAGGCCAGCCACCACTAGGTCTCCATTTACAGCTATAAAATCTCTACCAGTCCACCAGTCACCGTCATATTTATACCCGTAACAGGGGAAGCTGTAGTTCACTAAGCAGGTCCTTCAGCATCTGCCTCCTGTCATATTTTGCAGGACCTGCACCTTAACTATTGTTCTCATCTAATCCTTTAAACCCCTGAGGATTTTTAGCTATTTGGCTCAACCACTAAGTCTGTATGAAAGGTTGGGAAATTAAAAATATGTGAAATGGATGCATTTCCACAGGCTCCTGAACTTACTCCTGTGCATGAATAAGCAACCAAGTAACTACACTGAAACACCCACATTTGCTCACAATGAAAAGGAATGGCATAATTTTCAGTCAAATTAATTTCTTGCCTGGTTACACAAGCAGCTGGTTCAACATGGCCCTTCTCACTGATGAAAGCTTCACTCAAGACAAAAGGCTCTGTTTAGACCCAGAACCATCAAATATCATGGACAACAATCTGTTAATGCACTAAATTAAAGGCAAATTGTTACTAACCTTGCTCTGAACTATTCACTATATAGGAATTCTTTGCATTTCCCACTTGATACTTACAGCTATGCAAAAAATGGCAGCTGTGTTGACTTTCACAGTGAGCTGTTTAGCTTTGTTTAATTTTGGTTACTCCAACATGTGATAAATATGAATGGGTAACAGTTTTACAACTTTTTACATTGCCTGCCTTGCTGTGTTTGAAGAAATATCAGCCTGAATTTGCACCCAGATAATACAATAAAGAAAACACAAAATATTTGCACAGTGAACTTTGATCTTCTCTTATTGCAGTGTTATTTGCAAAATAGAGTTAACACCTGAGGACCACAGCTGTCAGAGGTTCTCTTCCTTTCCATACAATTATTTCTTGCTCTTCCCTCCGGTTCATAGCAACTAGGTTGTGACATGCTAACCAATGGGTGACATTAGTACAATGGAAATAACATAGTTCAAGAACAAAAGGCAGGCACAGATGTGCAGTTTGCAATGCAGGACAGCCTTCTGGACCACAGTGTCCCACACATCCTGCTTCTGGCAGCTACTGGTATTTGAGTAGGGAAAACAAAATACACGTCATCTCTTCAGATGCTAACAACTGATATCACTGACATTGGCAGAACTAGCCCTGCTGTAGGTTTTGTAACAGCAGCAAGTTTTGGCTCACAAGGCACTTCAACAAACACGCAGTGACACTCCTGACTCATGAGAGAGAAGGCAGGAGCTCATGAAATGTGGTCAATGGCTGCAGGGGAAAATGGCACATGCCAGCCACCCAAACAGCACTTTTGGTATGCTTTGCCTGAATGCAGCACAGAGACCACTGCTGAGAGGTAGAGACTGATGTGAGCATGAAGCCAGCATGGGTCCTTGTGGTGCCTGCCCTGCGCCAACACAGTATTACACATAGCATTAACAAATACTCTAGTGCAGAGGGAGCCTAACTCTGCCACAGAAGGCACTATGAGTTCACCACCCGCATGCAGGCCATACTGAGGGAAAGTGGAAGAAAATGCATAGAAGCTTTATCTTCTTCATCCCCTCCTTCCCATTACTATCTTCACATCCCTAAAGTACAGGAAGGCACAACAGAAGACTGGCTGAAAGGGTCTTTAAACAGCTAGCGTGTAACTGAGAGAAAAATGGCAGAGAGCTATCCACACTGCTAGGCAATTCATGGCTGAAAAACATTAACAGACAAAGGCCAGATTAGGAATTAGGCATAGGAACTCAAGCATGAACCACCAAAGCTATCAAATCCAGGTCTCAGCCACAAGCTGAGTTTACATTTTGCACAGAAGTATCCATACAAAATCCTCAGTTATGCACTGCCCCAGCCAAACTTCAGCTCGGACATTACAGGACACAAATCTGATCTGCTGCATCTGCAAAGATGTTAAAAAAATAAAAAAAAAAATTTAAAAAAGGCTCCAATGCCTGCAAATCCAGAAGGAAAGGCTTACATTTAAAGACAAAGTTGAGGTACTCCTCCAGATGTAAATCAGTTTGCCTGCATAGAAGCTCTGCCCTCCACATTTTGGATGTCAGTGCACTGAACTGCTGAAGTTCTCTGACCTCATTTATCTGTCACCTACAACCATCTCTCTCCATTTACAATGTTAAAGGTAAACCAGTTTCCACTGATGCGAACATGATTGGATTCAAGATAATTTTTCTGACTGCATGTCCTTGTCCAAGAGTCATATATTCGTGTTCTATCAAGCCCCTCATCCCTGCCCCACTGACATCCTTACAGCAGAAGATCAGTGCTCCTCTCTGGAGATATTCAAAACCCACCTGGATGCGTCCCTGTGTAACCTGCTCTAGGTGGCCCTGGCCTTGACAGGGGGGTTGGACTAAATGTTCTCTAGAGGTCACTTCCAACCCTAATGATTCTGTGATTCTGTGAGAAGAGCTGAAGAATAAAACAAGAATCACCCCCAGGCAAAGAGTGCCCTAAGAGGAAAAAGAAGGAAATCCATCTCAACAAGATCTCAGCTGGCTGGAACACTAAGTTATGCTGCAAAGCATTTCTCTGGGAGGCTAAAGTTTTAAAGTATTAGTACAATCCACATGAAGAAGAGGGAAAGAATGGAGCCAAATTAAAAGGTTAAGATAGGGCTTACCACCTACATGACATACATTGTTCAGATATGTGTGGATATATTTGCAGAAGCTGTAAATACAGTGACAACCCTACTTTGACCTGGTGCTAAATAAAGGAAATAGTCATTTCCAACTGTGTGTCTTGAAGTTACACTTGTTTTCTTCCCCCACCCCTTCTCTTCCCCCCACCCCCACCCCCCAAAACTATAAACATTATTTCAAGTCACAAAGTTACATTCTGCATATACTTATAGAGAATTATAACATTCTTATTTTCCCAAAACGTATCAAATAATGATCAGACGTATATTTTGACATATCAGTTGTAACAACTAATAAACTGAGAGGTTAGTATGACTCCTTCCAAATCTGTCTAAAGACAAGTTAAAGAGTAGCCACAGCCATCTAACCCCTTGTCCTTTGATGACATTGCCTTGTTCAAAGGTTGGACAGGTAGCTTCATGGGTGCAGTGCAACTTTATTCCCAACCACACTTGAAGTCCCAGAACCCTCCTGCACTCTGCCACAGCTCAGCTTGGGGATAAAAGAAAATCAAGCTATTATGTACAGTCCGAGCTAAACTGCATAATATCTATTTAATTCATTTCACAGTACATAGGTAGGAAGGAAAAAGCCATGGGAGCTCTCTCAGTACTCTTCTACCGCTTCAGTAACTATGCGAAGAGGAGCAGACCTCCTCTTGGACAGAGGACTGAACTCTCAACACTCCCACCAGTTGGAGGTACTGAGCTGTCACAGGTGAACACCTCACTCAAAGCTTACTCAGACTTCACTCTTCTTGGCAGTCTGAGCATGAAGACCAAGAGCATTAGCCAAAAATACTGTCTTGTCTTGTTTTGCTCTTGTCATCCATTGATGCCCAAGGGGAGTGAGGAGACGACAGGAAAATGGGGAAAAAAATAAGAAGACTGTCAGGGTTATCTGTAGGGCTCTGCAAGAGAGACAGCATATATGTATGTGTGGAGAGGGGAATGCATGTGGAAAGGAGGGTTGGGAACTATGACAGGGAAGCTATACACACAGCCAGAGAAAACTGCAACTGTGAGTAGTGACTCTGCCTGGCACAAACCTCACAGCAACTGGAAGTTCTACAGGGCTGAGATCTATCTAGTGACTCAAATGAAGATTAACTGGGTATAAAAACACACAAGCTCCAAAACTCAAGTGTCAGGGTTGACAGTGGCCAGCAAGAGATTTACAAGTGGTTACAGAGACCCAGGGAGGAACCCGCAAAGCTGATGACCCCTGCAGCAGAAGATCAAAGTACAGCCAGGTGCCTGAGAGCACAGCACAAAGGTCCTTCTTGCAGATTTGGGCTGCCCTCTGTGTGAGCTAGGAATTTTTAACATTTGAGAAATGATTGTGTAACTCAAGAGCAATAAAGGTCTGGAGAACAAACCAAGTATTTTAGCTGTTTGCCAGTCTCAGTGTCTGTTCTGGTGATACCTTGTTGGAGGCCACAGCAGAGCCCCAGGCCCTTTTTTTTTTTAGGGTGAGCAGGAGGCCAGGAATGCCAAGGCATCAGATTCCTACTCCCCATGAAGGTGAAGGCAGAAGGGACATTTGTTGCTCTCTTGCAATTTGGAGCTTCCCACCACAACACAGGGGGTGCTGCAAGAGATGAACAGATGAAGGTTGCTTCAGGTAGCATTGCACAGCTATAGATGAGAGGAGGAAGAAAGCACAAGTTTGCTGCACAGAAAGCTCTGCACAAACCCTAACTATAATGCGGTTCCCGACTGGCAGGGTCAGAAAAAAAGGCTATTTTTGGAACCCAGTGCATAGAGGACATTTTACATCCATGACGGGAGTTGGACAACAAGTCAGAGAACAATAATTGCAAATCTTTGCCTATTGACATAATATTTTTTCTGTGTAAGGACAGTCCCAGTGATACTAAGCAATGGAACCACAGCCTTGAAGGGGTGCCACCTCCACAGGAGAACTCAGAATTATCTTCACACATGCTTCCTAGCTTACTAGGGCCCAAAATTATACTAATTGGAAGCCTCAAAAATATACTTTAATGATGCCTGTGGAAACTAATACAATACATGGAAGATTAAACATCATACCACATTTTTAAAGACTGGCTTTGTGGCACACTGATGTAGTTAGCTGATCACTGAAATAACACGTCAAAAACTTTGCACAGACTTATGCATGTACTTAGGCAAGCTCTACTTGCTGTACAGCAAGGTTAATAACAGACTTTCAAGGCAGTGTATCGACAATACTTCACCTTTTTCAAGGAAGGTTCGTTACGTAAACTCCCCAAGCACATTAAGAATTCTTTGACAGTATTACTGAGTATGTATGATTTACGATGAAGAAAAATCCATTCATTTCAGGTGCCCTTAGGCTGGAAAGGAGATGGGGGTGATGGGGGAGTACTGTTCTCAGTAGGGGAACTAATTGCAAGAATCATCTGCCCACAGATATGGAAGGAAATGTGTGCTAGAGTTGTTTCAAACTGATAGTGAGGAGGAAGGAACATATTTAATATTTGGAAGCATGTCTGCTACAATATTTAGCTTTTGTGTATGTTTTCAAAAAAAACACGTTTGGACAAAACACAGTGGGGCTGCTGCAAATGCCCAGGACATGCTACCTGATTTCCCCCGAATATCCTTCACTAAATGATCTTATTTATTTTTAGGCTGTTCTGTAGCTCTAATTACCATAGTAACTGAGAATATCACAAAGATTAATTAATTTATTCATCACAACACCCTTGTTAAGAGAGAAGTATTACCATATCCTTTCATCATCTAAGAAAAGAAGTGCTGAGAGACAAAGCAGTTGATCCAAGGTCATGCAAGCACCACCCACATTGCTCAAAGCTCCTGGACAACTTCATCCCAGCTCAACTTTTCATCTCTTGAGCCCTCAGGCAGAGGTGACAGATTCTGGGCAGATTATTTTCTTTTGCAACAAAGAATCAACAAAGCTCAGAAAACCATCCATTTCTCCCCATTTCTTCCATCTGGCAGTATCTCCATGGAATGAATGCCTGAGATTTTTTGTGGCTTTCATTGAACATATGAGCTTTTCCAAAGACCATGAAAATTATAAGAGACTGTGATCCAGAAACTGATGTTTCTCCACAGACATAGCTCATCCACCATGTAGATTACAACCAAGAGACTACATGCATTTTGAACGACATAAAACTAAAACAACAAAGTTAATCCATTCTTCTCTCCCAAATTACCTATTTTCCAGACACCTTCTTTTAAGCCAGGCAGCTTACATCCTTTCTATTTAGTTATTCACAATTGCACGGAAATATTGCAGAAAAAGTGTTTTAATTTGGCTAAATCCTTAGCCAGTCCAAGCTGGTGCTGCTCCTTTACCTTTAGGCCAGCCCTTGCAAAGATGTGAATCAGGTGTACACACTCCTGAATGCATAAAGCCACAAAAAAATAAAGCTGAGTGAAACTGTAGTATATAAGCCTACAACATTCTATGAACCAGTGCCAGGGGATCCATGCTGATGGAGAGAGAACCTGCTCTGGATGATCACAACAGCACAGATAAAATAGGACAGCAGTTGTCCTGCCTCTTTGGCAGCTGATCTG